AGAGAGAGAGAGAGAGAGAGAGAGAGAGAGAGAGAGAGAGAGAGAGAGAGAGAGAGAGAGCTTGGTGACATTTGGATCCAGACTCGACATTGGACATCAGATATTTCGAAGAGGGATTATTTGGGACTTGTAACAAGACTTGGTGTTGACGACTTTTCCATCTCCCCCTTCCTCTTCTTCGTCTGATCCCTTCCTCTTCGTCCGTGTATGTCTGGACCTGGCGCCTCTTTCCTGTGTATAGCGCCAGGCCCCTTCACACTTTGTGATGAGCATGATGTATTTTTGGTCTGCGTTGAAACATTGATTGGGCTAGTCATTAGTACTCTAGCATTCTGCTTCTCTATCTTATACTACGTGAAAGAGGTCAGTCCCGGTCAGGTCATGACTTGTATCTAAAGTCTTCCCTGCGCTATAAAGCACCATTTTGTATGTATCGGAATGCACATTGCTTGTTGAGATTCTTCTTGCACTGCATTGTCCATTCAGTCCTTTTTATCACATTGCGGATCCTCGGTTTCTATGTACATCGCCCAACTGGGCATGTATCATATGCCATGTACTAACCTGTGAAGATGGCGCTGTGCTGCAGGTACCTCGAAGGCGAGCTATGGCGCTGCAGGTGAGTATCCCTGGCCTCCGCCCAATCTCTCTCTCTCTAGTACTACTCTAGCTCCTATGGCGCCCAGCGCTGAAGACTACTGCTAACGCTACTAGCGCCCAACGCTGAAGACTACTGCTAGCGCTACAACTACTCCTGCAGCGCTCCTCCAGAGTGCTGCTGCCGAATCCTGAAGACTACCTCCTGCCTCCTGAACTGCACGTGAAGTGCCTGGGAAGTATCTAGGAACTACCTCCCGGCCTGCAGGGCGGGCCAGTCGTATATAGTGCTGGCCCGTCCAGGAGGCTGCTCTTGGCGTTGAAGCTCAACCAGGGGTTGTCTTGAAAACAGGCCTGAAATGGCCTGTGCTAAAACCCTGGTTTGTTGCCTGAGTTTCAGGGCGGGTCGGACTGATGAGGGCCTGAAAATGGCCCTCAGTTTCAGGCTGAAAATACTCAGGGTTGGAAAGGCCCTGATTTAGCCTGAAACGACACAGGGCCTGTAGGCCCTTGTCAGGCTTTCAGGCTGAAACGACAGGGCCTGTAGGCCCTTGTTTTCAGGATTTTGGCCTGAAAACGTCACGGGCCTGAAAGGGGGCCCGTGCAGCCTGTTGCAGGCGCAGTATGTAACATCCGGCCAGCGCTCCAACCAGTGTGTCGCCAAACTTGCACATTAACGATGAGGCTGGGCTCTTCGCCCGGCCTGGAGATATAGAGGCCTGCTTACCTCTTGGGCGGTGACTTCCAGGCCGCTCGGCCTTCCCAGCAACCGGTACCTCCTCACTTTCGGAGGGAAACATCATTGCAGACTCTGATACTGCCCGTACAGGCCCTAGACTCAGACTGGTTGGACTGGTACCCGCCTAGACCTAGCCTACAACTACTGGGCCTCCCCAAATGCCACTTTTGTCTTCTTCTGCTCGGCCTCCAGTACCCGCACATCTACCTCTTCAGGGTGCGGTACCGGCCTACCTGCTACTTGAGTGTTTTTCCCCTGCTGCAATCCTCAATGTCACGGCCACAGGTAAGTACCGGCCCTGAGGGCCCAACGAACGAACAAGTGCCCTTGCAGGTCACACACACACTCAAGCCAACCAGCACTCAGACAGACATACAGACCAGCAAGCACGCAGACATGCAGAACTTAGTAGCAAGCGGGAAACTCAGCAAGGCATTCAGTCCGTGAGCAAAACTCAGAAATCAACTGTGTCTCAGTCCGTGTTTGGTCGGGTCATCACAGCACAGTGTAACAGTGTATACCCCTTTGCACCGTTCCAAGACAAACTCTTCGGTCAAGTTCAGAACAATTAACCTGTTCTCCACTCCTCCTCCCTCCTCCCTTCTCCTCCCTTCTCCTCCCTTCTCTTCCGTCCTCCTCCGTCCTCCTCCGTCCTCCTCCGCTCCTCCTCCGCTCCTCCTCCCTCCTCCTCCCTCCTCCCTCCTCCTCCCTCCTCCTCCCTCCTGCTCCCCTTAGCGACACCATCACCACAGATAGCACGAACTCCATACTGCATATACATTATGGAAGAGGAGGGTTAAACCAGCGGTACCGGCTAGCCTCTTTTTGCCGAGGTGGATTCCCCCCGCGTGCCAAGCTTTGCTGAAATGCCAGCGTGACGTTTTTTGTCTTTTGTTTTCCTTTTGGCTGTTGCCACCAGCCATTTTGGTCCGATAGCCCCAAACCTCCCAAATTTTTGGATTGGTTCAATTTCGATTCTCAAGTTTGCCTGGGTTAGGTAATGGTGGTTCAAGCCATGTGGGAAAGAGCAATGACACACACTTGTTAAATCCAGCCAATGGGTGGTGCCGCATCCACTGTGCATCAACATCGCAAAGATGATTGATCAAGGTAATAACGAACCATCAACTTGTTTGCATAGTTATAACTATTAACAAGTGTGTGCACTGTGCACCCCCCTTACCATGGAAGATGAGAAGCGTCGAGCTCCTTTTTCGTGTCATTAATGCACTCTGCCAATCTTGACAATGGCACACAGACATCCTGTCAAGCACAAAGAGACAATGTGTGAGGGAGGGAACCATAAAAGTGAAGGATTCTTTACCAACAACTCTGTTCATCAAGATGTGAGTGTCCGGATAAGGTCTGCCCAATAAACCGTTCATGTGCTGTCCAGCCAACTGATTAACCCCCCTGTTCAATGGTGGTTAGGGAGTGGTGGTTTAGGGTTTAGAGCGGAGGGAGAGGGGGGGTTAACGGTTTAGGGTTTAGGGTTTAGGAGCAGGGATGTGAGGAGGGGGGTGGGGGAAGGAGATGCTCAGAATCAGGAATGTTCATATGCTCAGAGGTACCAGATTGAGAGGCGTTTTGTGGTAGGAGACAGTGGGAGGCACAAAGGCAGAGCGCTCACTCTGTCATAATGGCTTGAGCAGTTGCTTCTGACATAGGGTTGGCGAGGATCTGGGACCTCGGCAGGCCTAAGGGCCCCCTGTTGCATCTGTGCCCGCCCTAAGTGAAGGCGGGCCTAACAAATCACGAAAGGCCCTCGACTGTCAATTCTGTATTTGGGGTCCAGGCAGTTTCGTCGCGCCAGTTGGTTGAGGAAAACACAGGCCGAGCAGCGAGACTTTCGACGGCCTTCCAGGCCCTTTCCGAAAGGAAGCAGGCCTTGGACGAGAATGGCAGCCTCATACACAAACAGTTGGGAGGCCCAACCGAATGAGGCCCAGTAGCTGCAAGAGAGGCGCAGCATCCTGGGGCCTACAGGAAGCTTCTGGGCCCAGGCCAGTCCAGCCAGGCTGCCGAATGAGGCAGGCTCTTTCCATATAGGAAGGAGCTCGCTGCCTGGCCAGTGATTCAGGCACATGCTAGCGGCAGCGCTGCTGAAGCGGGCGCTCGTGGGCTGCTGCTGGCGCTGAGAGGCAAGGTGCAAGCGCGTGCGGTCGTGCAGGGAACAGGGTGCTGCTGAGGGCAGCGCCATAGCCCAGCCTCCATAGCCGGCTGAGGGCTTGGTTGTACAGTGAGGCGCAGGGGTGGTCTTCGGGTGTACAAAGGGAAGACGTGGGAAGACGAGGGAGAGAGAGAGAAGGATGATGATGATGATGATGATGTGAGGGCACATACCTGGTATTGGCGATGGTCTGTATGGGCGACATCTTCAAGTACTTTGGAGGCTGCTGACGTCAACAGTTGCATTGTCAATCAGTAGGCTAGTAGTAGCTGTGTCGCCGAGCGCCAAGTAGGGAGATAGGGACTGGATACATATGTTGGTGGTGGCGAGAGCAAGCTCTCATTGACATTGGCTTTTCAGTGCTACGATTCTCCATTGGTGTCATATTGGTGCAATGCTGCTTTCTGAACACTGTGATACGATCTGGCTTTCAATGTGATTGTGCAATCTGAATATTGTCATCTCGCTATTGCTCATTTTCCATGCAGTTGTGTGCAAAGTGATGTTCAACCCCGTCTTGATCAGTTGACGAGAAAGCACTGAACTCAGATGCAATTCTCAACATTGTCTCACTGCATCACAACAGGCACTTGTCGCACAACCAGAGTTGATATCTGCCTATTATTGACTTCCTGTCTGAGTGAGCTAGAGCTAACTGATGTTCATTCAACACCTATTAACTGTATAACTAACATGACACACTGGTTTCCCTCAATATCCCTTTACAGCGCTGCCATGAATATGTGAAGCAGTCAGTTGGAGAAGGGAGTCCTCCTTTTCTTTGCTTTTGCCCTCCCTCTTTTCTTGTGGAAGAAGTGGAGTCTAGTTTTCATTTCGCTGAAAAACGACTAAAAAGGGTACCACGACGAGAAAGTGGATTGTCGAGGTAAACTGCACAGAAGGTATAGCAACATGATGGACAGCGGCAGCTATGGAATGCACTAAACAGTTCTGAAGGCCTCACGGCCTGGGAGCTGACCGTATCATCCTGGGGCCTGGGCAAGGAGGCATCACACCGAAAAGTTATGAACACCTCATTGAGTCTAACAGCAGGGAAACTTACAGTAACAACTTGCCATGGAGATATTCGAGCAGTCTGCCGGAGTGCCAGGGTTATCTAGATGAGTATCGATGAAATGGGACTCGAAAGAAACTGACCTCCCAGGATTTTGACATGTGTCACATCAATATGCGGCCATCAAGGCCCTAGAACTAACAAGGTCTGGCCAATTGTGACCGCACCAACTGATATGATCTGGCCAACTGTCACTAAAACTGACCAAGCGCGGCCAATTGACAAGGTCTGGCCAATTGGGGCCATGCCAATTGAAATGACCCAACTGATATGGTCTGGCCAATTGTCACTAAAACTGACCAATCGTGGCCAATTGACAAGGTCTGGCCAATTGGGGCCAAGCCAATTGTAATGACCTGCCAAAACACAGACTGAGAACACTGCTGATTTCTGGGATTTGCCACTGGAATGTATGCCTTGCTGAGATTCCCGCATTCTGCTGTGATTTCTAAGTCCGTGTGTGTGTGCATGCCTGCTGGTCTGCGTGCCTGTCTGAGTGCTTGTCGGCCTGAGTGTGTGTGTGACCCGCAAGGGT